AAGAGCCAGACCCGACCCAAGATCCTTCACCGCTGAATTCCTCAGTCTCTGTGAGTCCTCATGCTGCACCATGTTGATCACCTCCATTCCTTCCCCTGTTGATGAGGCCACAAATGTTTCCTCCATTCGCTGCCAGCCTGTAACCGGTGGTGGGTGGGGACAACATAAGCTTTCTTTTTCTTCTCTTCTTTCATACTTAGATCCTTTTCACCTCTACTTCCCTCCCTCTTTTCTCTCCCTGCTTTCTAAACTTTCAACTCCATTTTACCCTTACTGTGTGTCCATTTTCTCCTTCGTACTAGCAGCTTTTCATTCTTACCTCTTCCCACTCTCTGCTTCCTTTGTCCTTTTCTTGTGTCTGTTCTTCCTCATTCAGTATATATTCCTCTATGCTCACCCTCCCCATAGCATCCTCATAATTCCCAAGTGTGGTTTCTTGATGTGTATGGATGTGAGTGTGCAAACTTGACCTAAACTTCTCTCCCTTTGCCCTGCTAAGTGCATGCAATTGCAGTAGGGTAGTAAGTGGTCGCCCAGGAAGGGGAGACCATCTTAGTGCTATTTTACAAGGGGAGCTGAGGTACAGAGAAGCAAGGCATTGAAAGAACGAGGGACTGGAATCTGGACTCCTGTGGTTTGACACTTGCAGGATTTTTTTCTTTTCCCTTCTTTTTTCAACACGATCTTTCCCATCGTCTCGTTACAAGTGTGTCTTTCTTCCATTGATTTTTTCTTCCCTCATTTTCTCACTCATGAATTTGGCCATTTTCCCCACTTATTTCTCAACACACTTCCTCCCTGACTCTTGCCTGTCTTTCTCTCTTCCCATGATGGCTCTACTTCTCACACTTGTTCTCCCTGAATTGCTGCACTTTGGTCATTTCATGGGTATGCTGGTTACAATGTCCATTTTTCTTCCTCAATTTCACTGCTGCCTGACAGACAGGAGAAAAGCGTCCAGTAGAGCAAACAGACAGAAGGAGGGAAGAGGAAAGACAAGCATGGCTCAGACATTGCCCAGGAAACAATACTTGAATGGCCAGCATGTCACAAGCTCTAATTATTTTTTTTTTTTAAAGCGGGACCTATCGTCAGGTTGAGAGGAACTGATCACTTTAGAAAAGATGCCAGATCTTGAAGTGAGCCACAGTTCCAAAGATACAAGATCAGGGTCAAAAGCCATTGCCTTTTCCAGTGCACAGCCAGTCAATTTTTTTCAGGAATTAGGGGCAGTGATTACTGAGTTGTCACAGGGCAATTTAAGTTCTTTTAGATAGTGCTCTCTCAAGAAGTAGTCTGATTTTTAGAGGGAGTTGCGTGTTAGGAACACTTGCTTCTTATTGCAGGTAAGATCTTCTAAGAATTTATATTGTCCTTAGAAAGTTTTAACTCTTGCCTCTAAGATTCTTACAGGACTTCTGGCTTCCTGGTTCCACCACATTCTGAGGAAGCTTGGCTTGGAACAAAGTGCCTGCTTCCTTATGGCTCTATTTTGAGAAACCACCACTTTCTGGACAATGAACTTTACTATTAGACTACATCCCACTGAATAATAGTAGGACAGGTGGCATGAAAAAGACTGCAACCACAGTGGCAAATGTGACTGTCTCCCAAAATGAATATCAGAACATTGTAAAAGACAAATACAGAGTACAATGAAATATTCATATAAGCTCATTGCTTATATGAATAAGAGAGTTCTTCCCTGAAAAAGGCCTTTTGAAATCTTTTATTTCAGAAATCACTTTCTCCTCACTGTCCTTCCTTTTCATCTTCTTCCTTTTCTCCTTTCCTGTACATTTCCCTTATAAAAGTCATACCAGACCATTCTTTTATGTTTTCAGGGCCATTACTGCAGTAATAGGCCTTAATGGCCCTTACCAGCCTCACCTGGAGCCTTCACCCCTGTCCTGTGCTCACGGGTCCAGGAGCTTCATTTAAGCTTGGGCCTGGGTCTCCAGTCTCTATTTGAGGTCTGTTGCAAGTATACCTATCTCCTAGCTCCAGCTCCATCACAGCTCTGCCTGGCCATAGACCCTGTTGTTCTGGATCCTGACCTACAAATTGACTTCCTGGTTTGACCTCGAATATGGCTTATCACTATGGACTTGCCTGGCAGTCATGGAACTGTGTCTGACCCTGGTTTCTTTCATTGGATCTGATCCTGACCCTGGCGTGCTTTTATTCCTGGCTAGACTTTGAGCCTGCCTTGACTTTGAGCCTGCCTCATGATTATGGACTTATCTGATGATCTGTATTCTTGACAGAATAACTACCTATCCCTACCTATAGCTACCTAACTACTACCCCCAGGCCTACCTTGCTTGCCTTGCTCAGGGGCTGTGGGGACTGGGCGCTGGCTGGTGAGGCCCCTGCCCTGCCAGCCTTGCTGAGCAGACACTTGTGTGCTGGCTCCCTGTCCCTTAGAAAACAGCTGGACCTTGGTGCTCCCTGAAAGTTAGCTTGGGCTTTCTTGAGGACTGAGGTGAACACCATGGAAATGGGCCCACCACTGAGCAGGGTCTATGATTCTTTCTGAGGGACCAGCCTGGCCCTGGGTGCTGCCCCCA